TTTGCGTGAAGGAAAATAAAATATGTATTCCGTATTCTTAACTTCTGTTTTGTACTTTAAAGTCACAAACTTCACCGTGGCTTTTGAACCAGCGATAATAAAACGAAAAGGACTAAGAAGAAGTTTTAACAGATGTGTGGAATCTTTGGCTAGACACTAATTTGTGAAAGATCGTTATTGCGTTACGCTTACTGAAACAAGTTACGGTCCACTTACCTCAAATGAACCTTTTGAAGAACCATTGAACCGCAGCTTTCGATGACACACCTCCGACAGACTGCTTAAAGGTTTTTCTGTAAACCATGAAGGAAAGTCATATAAGAGGAATCTTTTCAATTCAAATTTCGATTACAGCAAGCGAAAGAACTCATGATGAGAAATTTTTTTAAGGAAAAACGAAAAAGAATATGGTTTCATTTGTATTGTGTTATAGTTAGTTGGAATTTAAACTATTCCAGTTTGTATCGATGCTTCCGTTTTATGGCAAATATTTAAATCACGAAAGAAATTTTTTGATGCATATTCATGACATTTTAGCCTACTTTGTGACATCAGCTGAATCTTGAAACGTATCACCCCAGACATATTTGCCATATATGGCAATTACGGTGCGACTCCATGTGCATCGCACACGTAACAAGTACATTGCGTCCGGTACGATCCTTGTCGACGAATAATAACACAGTCATGCTTTGGTTTGAAACAAAGAGAATAAGGAAACTATATGCCAAAGGAAGGATATTTTTAAATTTTGATGACTCTTGAAAGAAAATAGATGCTTGTCGTGTCATGGTGTGTCACCATAAAAGGATTATCCTTGTAAATGTATGAAGAACTGAATGCACCTCTGTCAGTAATAACTGAAACTTTGCACACGCTAATTAAGCCTGCAGCCACTTATGAAGCACCCTAATAGGAATCCGTGATTTCCCTTATTCAAAGCTCGGGATTCGCGGTAGGCTGCGAGCAGTCTCTCTTTTTCTTCAGATTTAGTAAGGGAGTGCACGCGCGCGCGAGCGGCGAAGCCGCGAGACGTGGGCGCGTGGCCATTTGCGTGTCTTGCGTTTTGCTCGACGGACTATAGAAAAAAGAGAGACTGCTCGTAGTCTAGATTCGCGGATTTCAAAACAAAATCGGGACAAGATTCGGAATTGAAACCTTACAGGCGAGGTGGGATACCAAAAATAACCATCGAGAATACGGGATTGCGCGAATTGCGGGATGTAATAAAATGTGTTTCAATTGACTGCTTCTTATGAACCGTACTGCCGTTAATGTAACATCAGTTTGATCATAATAATAATAATAATTTTTATTTATTTATAATATTTTATTGATAAGAAAGCTAACTATAAAATCCTATTTACAATTAATTACGCTTAAAGAAACTGTGCGGTAAAAGTACTACTGGTTACAATTCATTTCGACTAAAAAAAAACACCTAATTTCGATTTTAAAAAAATTCATTTCAATTTAAAAAGAAAACTATTTTCTAAAGTAAAAGTAATCTAACTAAAAGAAAGAGAAAATGAAATAAAGTTCTCAATTGTGTTATCGAATATTTGCGAGTCCTTTTTTTTTAATATCTAAATCCATGTCCGATAGTCTAAAATGGACTCTTCTAGACACTCACGATCTTCTACAAAGCAAAGCTGATCTTAGCAGGGCCAATGACACGGATCCATGACAAGGTACTGGCGCTTCTTCTCTGTTTCTTGCTGCCCGAATGTCTGGTCTTGATCCATATCTCTATAGGAGTCTGCATTCGGGTAGCAAACCCTCACATCAAAGAAAACCGACCTCTGCTTCTGCCAGAATCCCCTAGCAACTATAATCAGCCTTGCATCCGGGGCCTTGGCTGCTATATTCAACTCTTCTCCTGTGATGCCTTGCAAAAACTGGTTCGACATACCGTACTAAGCAGTTCCGCCTCCATATCCCTCAGTTCATTATGGCGTTAGATGACAAACATGACCCGTTTGCATATCATAGCGTGATCCACATGTCCCCGCAAACACAGACAGAGGGCGTCTCATGCAGGAACTTCCCAGTCGTACCTGAGTTTCAGAGCATCTCAAAACTCACTCTTGTTTAAATCAAAGTCCATGTCCCCAATTGGCAAAACGGTAAGCCAACCAGACGCACCTTTCTGGGCTGCAAGGTCAACGGCAGTGAGCTCTCAAAGTTTTTCCAGAAATCGAGCTCTACACCTCATCAAGGTTTTCCTTCCTTCCTTCATTTTCTCTTGTTCTTCACTTGGGAGCATCTCATGTTGTACAACACCTGCAAAGTGCGTATTTCATTGTCGTCTGGCCGTTATGTATTTGTGAAATAGGGTGAAATACGCACTGTGCAGGTGTTGTGCAACATGAGATGCTCCAAGTGAAGAATAAAAGAGAATGAGCTGGATCATTCTTCTCTTCTTTCAATGTTAGAAGGCGGGAGAAATTCCTGGATAACCATTCTGATTCGTCTAGGATATACTCAGTTTCTCCCCTAAATTATATTACCTACGATTTTTGGAGGTTTTGTTTTTTACATTGAAATACCAAGATATTGCGATTATTGTTTAAAAGAAGTCTCTTGAAAATTTCGGTATAAAGACATAACGTCCCCTAGAGTCTTCTAATGAAAGAACATCTACAGTTACATGTCTTCGAACTTTCGACTGGATCCATCAAGCAAACCTTTGTTTGCGCTGCAAGAAAATGCTGTGGGTAGTGGCCCAACTGCAGTTTTTATTCTTCAACCATAGGGTGGTGGTGAGGCAAACTTAACAAGAGCAACTGATACGTGTACACCAGCCTACGGCCTGGCCAGTGTTCAGTCACAAACGCGCACAGCCTTAACGATGGGGCGGTGGCAGCACAAGACAGCTGTTTCGCCCTCGTTACGGTGAAACAGCTGGCATGGCATAGCCTTCGGACTTATGCTTAGTCTAGTGCAACTCTACCCAACACTTTTGGAAGCTGTTGGCTGGGAACCACACGGCACAGTCCTAGGAGACCCAGGGGAGGTCAGTCGGGTCGGGAAAAACGGCGACAACGGGCGTTAGTGAGCCCAGTCAAACAATAGACACTGCAAAATGCAACTTTGATTAGTTCTTTATTATTGGCTTCACTTTTCCGGCATAACTCTGTTAAACCCAGGAGCTAAAGAGTAATCTAGAGGCTCCCTATCCCACGTAGTGTGCATGAAGGTAGGTGGGGGAAATATCTGTTTGTTAAACCACAGGCAGCCCAAGCGCACTATGTGTGGGTTCGGGCTTCAGAGGTCATTTGGTCGGAATATACTAGAATTATTAGTGTATTATCTGATGCTAAATAAACGAAAATCTTAAAGATATGAAGTCTTCTTGTTTGTCTATCTGTACTAATAGCCTTTAAGATAACGAAGGTCGATATTTCTTGCATTATTACATGTGATTCGGGCCCTTAATGTTCGAATTTTATCATATGTATTCGAATCTACAACGATAAGAAAAAAAAAATCATGATCACGCGAAATATTGATTCAAAAAGCTCCCTTACCTTTAGTTCATAGCCAATCTGTGTCCTACGGCCGGTTTAAACGCCGTTTAGTCGACTTTCTTTCCAGTGTTTAGTACTCGATGGAAAGAAAGTCGACTAAACGGCGTTTAGGTGTGGGGGCTGTAGGGGGGTGTGCAGTCTGTTGAAGGTGTGCGGTCTGTTGGAGTTGTGCGGGCTGTGGGAGGTGTGCAGTCTGTTGAAGGTGTGTGGGCTGTGGGAGGTGTGCAGTCTATTGAAGGTGTGCGGGCTGTGGGAGGTGTGCAGTCTATTGAAGGTGTGCAGTCTGTTGAAGGTGTGTGGGCTGTGGAAGGTGTGCAGTCTATTGAAGGTGTGCAGTCTGTTGAAGGTGTGTGGTCTGTGGGAGGTGTGCAGTCTGTTGAAGGTGTGCGGGCTGTGGGAGGTGTGCAGTCTGTTGAAGGTGTGCGGTCTGTGGAAGGTGTGCAGTCTGTTGAAGGTGTGCAGTCTGTTGAAGGTGTGTCGCCTGTGGGAGGTGTGCAGTCTGTTGAAGCTGTGCGGGATGTGGGAGGTGTGCAGTCTGTTGAAGGTGTGTGGTCTGTGGGAGGTGTGCAGTCTGTTGAAGGTGTGTGGTCTGTGGGAGGTGTGCAGTCTGTTGAAGGTGTGTGGTCTGTGGGAGGTGTGCAGTCTGTTGAAGGTGTGTGGTCTGTGGGAGGTGTGCAGTCTGTTGAAGGTGTGTGGTCTGTGGGAGGTGTGCAGTCTGTTGAAGGTGTGTGGTCTGTGGGAGGTGTGCAGTCTGTTGAAGGTGTGTGGTCTGTGGGAGGTGTGCAGTCTGTTGAAGGTGTGTGGTCTGTGGGAGGTGTGCAGTCTGTTGAAGGTGTGTGGTCTGTGGGAGGTGTGCAGTCTGTTGAAGGTGTGTGGTCTGTGGGAGGTGTGCAGTCTGTTGAAGGTGTGTGGTCTGTGGGAGGTGTGCAGTCTGTTGAAGGTGTGTGGTCTGTGGGAGGTGTGCAGTCTGTTGAAGGTGTGTGGTCTGTGGGAGGTGTGCAGTCTGTTGAAGGTGTGTGGTCTGTGGGAGGTGTGCAGTCTGTTGAAGGTGTGTGGTCTGTGGGAGGTGTGCAGTCTGTTGAAGGTGTGTGGTCTGTGGGAGGTGTGCAGTCTGTTGAAGGTGTGTGGTCTGTGGGAGGTGTGCAGTCTGTTAGAGGTGTGCCGGCTGTGGGAGGTGTGCAGTCTGTTAGAGGTGTGTGATCTGTGGGAGGTGTGCAGTCTGTTAAAGATGTGTGCAGTCTGTTGGAGGTGTGCCGGCTGTGGGAGGTGTGCAGTCTGTTAAAGGTGTGTGGTCTGTGGGAGGTGTGCAGTCTGTTAAAGATGTGTGCAGTCTGTTGAAGGTGTGCGGGCTGTGGGAGGTGTGCAGTCTGTGGAAGGTGTGCGGATCTTTGAAGTCATGCCGGTTGGGGAGTTGTGCTGTGTGGGGTTGTGTTGGTTGCGACAGTTATTAGAGAAGTGTTAAATGTGGAAGTTGGGGACATTTTATTCAATTCTTTAGTTAAGGGTGACGGTATTTTCATCAGTCTTATCATCCAAACAGTGGTCAGGGGAGTCTTGAACTCGGCCCTCCGGATTGCAAGTCCAGCGCTCTCACCGCTCCGTCACTCTTCCTCTCCAAACCCTAAACTCTTTTAAATATATCCTTTAAAGTTTCTTTTATTTCTGTTAAAGATAAATTTAGCCAGGTACAAAAACAAAAGCATTTTCTAATCACTGTGTGTTGACGGACACATTTGGAGTTAAACGAGAGGCAGAAGTTACACTTCTAAGTTGCGGGGACTCCACAATTGATTTTGCTTGTAAAAAGGGCCAATGTAAACAGTATAAAAGAGCTTTCAACCTTCTATACGTTTAACTCTGTATTTCAACTAAACTAAGCGGGTGCTTCAGTATTTGCTTTGTCCCAGCCGTAGACATAGTCTTCTCCGAGTTCGGCTACCTGCCGATAAAAGTACGTAAAATCCACATAGGGTTCCACACGAATGTCCTCTCTTTCATCATCGCCGCTTATGCCTGTTCCTTGTCCTGCTACAGCTCCCGGTTCGGCAGGAGTGAACACGGAAGGTGATTGAGAGCCCGAGGAAGCAGCAGGGCTCTGGGTATCCGACCGTGAACCACTGACAGCCACCTGGGGTACCGGAGTGCCTGTACTGGTAGGCGTGGAGGTAGTAGGGCTGGGTGTATTTCCGGTAGGTTGTGGTGCGGGTTGTACACCCTGGGGTATGTATAAGGACGGTGCAGCTCCGCTTGCAGCACTCGCAGGGTTGTATGGTACAGATACAGGAAGGACCACAGGGCTTACTGGTGGCACACCTGAAATACAAGTTTGGAAAACGCTGCAGTGAGTCCGCATTAACGTCTAAACAATCAATACAGTTTATAAGGCTTCACATGAGGACCTCCATGACTTATTTAAAAACTACTAAAATGTCAATATGTTTCGAGCGAAATTAATTCCACACAAAGCACTTATATGGACATCACAACGGAGAAGAAGGCGATTACCGCCAAAAACAATATGGCAGGGAACTGTGGAGTAAGAGCTGAGTGAAATGGGAATTATGTTGGGTTGAAGCTGGAAAAAAGCTGAAGATCGAGAAAGGTTTTAGTAGCAGCCGTGTGCCTCACTGAGGTCGAAAAGGACTGATTGAGTTTGACCGGACCGGTATAACAGTGGAGATTACATATAAATTTAAGCACTCCAATTCAGCTGTTTAATTACAAACTCAAAAATGAGAAGTCCCTTTTCTAGAACAGCTCATGGTACCATACGAAAATTACTGCTTATTTGCTTATTTAGGGTTAGTCAGCGGTCGCCGAACACATTTTATTGTTCCGGCGATCGTGCTTAATTTCGTTATTTTTGTGTGTTGCAATCTGCCTAATCCACTGCCTAACGTCAGTTTTTGTTCCGATGACACTGCTTATCAGTTTTCGCCGCTGAGAGATCGCCCTTTCCTTGTTGGATTTGAGGCCTTCATTAATCGCTTTGCAAACAAGACGTCCGCCAACTTGGATCACTACAACAGTCGTTATGGTTCCTATCGACAACTGCTATACCCTACCCTCCTTTTGTGTGGCGATGTTCAATCAAATCCTGGCGCGGCGACACATGGATGTGATTCAAAGTTGGTTTGGATATGCAATCGCTGTTCGTTTTCCAACTTTTCAAAATCTTTCCTGCTGACTGACTATTTTTCAGTTACTGTATCCAGTAGCTTTGGAAGCCTTTTCAGCTCCTCCTCACCAGGGCCACTTCTCCACTCTTCAAGTCCTACAAGCAGTGCACCTCCAAGGAGGAAACCAGCGAAAAGGAAGCTGAAGGTTATGTCCTTAAATTGCAACCGTCTAAAGTGCTCAGCTAAAAGGTGTGAGTTCCAATCTTACATTGAGCTGCACCACCGAGATATTATTTTGGAATGTGAGTCTAAACTTGATGCTGACATTCCGACCTATTGAATCTTCCATGAGCGCTATAACATTTTCTGTAAGGACAGGTCATCTTCTGGTGGAGGAGTATTTATTGCAGTTCGCAACGACCTAGTCGCTGTAGAGGGAAAAAGGTTTGATGTCGAGGGCTCCGAGGTCATTACAGTCTCGGTGAACGGAGATAACAATCACTAAAATGACGACATGCGGGCACGTATGCATGCAGGTAATGTTCGTAGTAAGCTTTGTAACATTTGCTCTGGCTTCCCCTATTTATTCTTGGCGGGGACTTCAACTGTGGAGCAACTGATTGGAGTTCCGGTGACCCTTACCGTAAAAAATTCCAGCGCATGCTTGCGATCACTTCTTGCTGGAGACTACCGACAAGTTTGGCTTTACGCAGCATGTGAAATCTCCAACCTGTTAAGTCTCTGAGAGAACGCTAGATGTTGTATTTTCTACCATCAGCAGCCTCATCCAGGCATGTCACTTCGTCCCAGGCATCAGCTACCATGACGCTATTCTCTTCGAAGTAGATGTGGCTCCAAAATCTGCCCCAAAACCTCCTTGAAGAGTCTATCAATTTCATAAAAGGAATTTTGAAGGCTTTCGTGCCCGCATGTCGTCATTTAGTGATTGGTGTCTCCATTCACGCCCCGAGGACAGGTCTGTTGAGCAGAATTTGTCCAACATCTCAGCCTCTATCAAAGAGGCGATTAACAAGTTTATTCCATCAAAAATGACAAAGCAGAAGCGCCACCTTTCCTGGACTGGCCCAGGAATCAAAAGATTGACAAACAAGCGTGACAGAGCATACAAGAAGACTTAACGACTTGGAAAAGCTCATCACTTGAGTGCCTACAGACTTTTACATAACAGCACAACTAAAGAGGCCATGGGCGGTATCGCACCGTCTCCTAACGGTAGTACCAGTGTCGGCATTGAGAGGCCGTGGTCGTATATTAAGCTCTTACGTTCGGAGTCTATGGATATTCCAGCCCTCTTCTGGAAAAATCGCGTCTGTGCAAACGACATGTCAAAAGCCGAAGCCCTGCGTGAACAATTCGAGAGTGTGTTTACGTGGGAAGATTTAAACAACGTTCCAGTTCTCCCAGAATCTCATACGAGGATATTCCGGATATTATATACCTTCAATACCCGTGGTATTCAGAAGCTGCTCGAGTCCACAAGGTCTGACAAGGCCAGTGGACCTGATCTTTCGTTCTTAACGAGTCTGCTTTTGAGTTTGCCCTTACTCTCACTTCACTTTTCAAACAATCATTTGATAAAGGTGCTCTACCATCCGCTTGGAGGGATGCAAACATCACTGCCATCTTTAAAAAGGGATATTCTGTTGACTTTAAAAATTACAGACCTGTGTCTTTAACATCTCTTATTGCAAAAACCATGGAGCACTTTATTTGCAAGCAAATTCGCAGCCACCTTAGTAGAAATTTAGTCATCTCCAGCACCAGAATGACTTCCAAAAAGGACTCTCGTGTGGGACCCAGCTTATTACGGTCATTCACGAGTGGGCGAGTAGTATTCTTAACATCCGTGGTCAGGTCGACGTGATCTTCTTTGATTTCGTAAAGGCCCTCGACACTATGCCTCACGAAAGGCTCCTCCTTAAGGCCAAATTTTATTGCTTTTCTGGGAAGCTTAATAACTGGCTTCGGGTTTTTCCCACTGGTAGAAGACAACGCGTGGTGGTGAATGATTCATCATTTAATTGGTCAACTGTTCTATCTGGTGTATCCCAGGGCACAGTTCTGGGGCCGATTTTGTGTCTTCTATTTATCAACGATCTACCCTCTGTTGTATTACCGAATGTTAAGCTTTTTGCGGATGACAGTGTGCTTTACCGCCGTATTAAGTCTTCGGCTGATCATCATACGCTTCTGCGGAAGTCCCTATTGCGGCTGGAGCAGGAAGCAGCTATGTGTGTGCAAATAAACTTTGCCCCTAGTAGCAATACTCCTTCGGAGGGAGCCACTTTTAAGAAATATTTAGGGGTTTACATCACCAGCCCCCTTAACCGGTCCAAACAGACTGTGGAAGTGAAAAAGAAAGCAAACAAGATCTTGGGTGTACTGCAGAGGAACCTAGCGTCTTGTAGCCGTACTGTTAAAGAACGAGCCTACTTAACCTTAGTCCGCCCAGTACGTGAATACGACTCGGCTCATTGCTTGGTCTCCATATACACAGAAGGACATCACCTGCGTAGATTCCGTTCAATGTCGCGCAGCGCGCTTTGTTTTCAACGACTATCACCGAACCAGTAGTGTTACAAACATGATATCAAAGACAGGGTGGCAAGATCTTGAAACACGTAGAAAGATTTCTGACTTGATCATGTTTTTTAAGATCCAAATAGGCAACGTCAAAAGACCTTTTCCTAATGACCTTCTCTAGACCACCTCGCCGTACGTCACACGAACCAGCACGCAACCCTCATCTAGACCACCTCGCCGTACGTCACACGAACTAGCACGCAACCCTCATTTCAGTATCAACGCTTTTTGTCTAACATTAACGCGCACAAGTTCTCTTTTTTAGTTAGAACTGTCCAGTTTGGAATGCCTTACCCCCGTCTACTGTATACGCTGTTAATAGGGACTTTAAGATACCACGACAGCCAGGACAACGAGAAAGTCAAAAAAGCAATAAGCTGAATAAGCAAAACAACAACTCGGCAAGTGCGGTACGCTCTTTTCTTACATTTTTTTGCCGTCACTGCACGACCACGACATGAAAATGCCTAATTTCACGTTTTATGGAGGACGTAAACAAGCGACGGCTAAATCTTCTTTCTCTTTCTGAAATTGAATATGGTTCTTAGGAATTCGGTTCAAAAAGGGTTCGCTTGCATTCAAAGTAAATGAGTTGGAGTAATCGCGATACAGATTGACAGAACGCAAATTTCCCGTTTTAAGCGACGTTTTCGTGGCCGTCGCAGTCTTTATATCTTAAACTCCCTAATGTTAATGCCTTTCACTCAAGTATTTGTAGTAATTTACCTTTTTGAATTCCCGCTATTTTTATAATGTTTTTTTTTTTTTATGGCGTGAGTGAAACTTTTGTATTTTCCCATTCGCTGTCACTGTTATGAGCATCCGTGCACATGTACATGACTGACACCCATTGCCAGATTAGCTTGCAACAGACAATTATGTTAATTAAAGATAACGATTAAAGACGAACATACAGGATTCAAAATTCAGAACTGGCTACATCAGGCCCCGGTTGTTATAAAGTTGTATAGCACTATAATAACATTGGGCAAGACTATTAGGGAAGCCAATTGCATTATCCATTGGATGGATAGCACGACCTACCATTTTAACAACTGGGGCCAGATGGAGAATGTCGACAAACTTCAGTCTCTACCTGACATTGCTTGCCTGCCCGCAGCCCTTGGACTTTTCAGACTGTTAGCAATCTCTTCTTTAAAAATCCTAATCAGGAGTGTCATGTCATCTCTTTTCTGACACTTGCGCATTTGGTTCATGTAAGTGTCATGATGTGCCCTGCCTATTCTATCCACAACGGCCTGTGCTACTCCAGTCAGGTTATTTTGGCACTGAAGCTCTTCAGTCACCAGGCGAACTACATCAAAATTAGAATTAATCTCCATGTCTGCGGCTTCTTCTATTGAATTGTAAACTCCATCTGACATCAGCACAAGAGCAAAGAATGTCTCATCAATTGGGATGCCGCCACAAATGTGAGGTTCAGCTATGACTGGCTCTTCTGTTGCAACACTGGAAATGACACCAAGAAAGAAAAGTTTTGACTTCACTGTGTACTGCTCTAACATAACTGCATCTATCACTGATACCATGTACAGTCAAACTCCGTTAATACAGACACTGAGAGAGCTACATAAGTTGTCCGTATTAACTGGGTGTCAATAACGCATGGTTTGACTGTATAAAGTGACATACCCGACCCCCCCGCCCAAACTGCCACTACAAGCACAAGAAATCATGTTTGAGTTAAATTAGAGTTACAATAATTTTGGAGTTAATAATTTTACATAAAAGAAAATGCAAGGTTGAAAACCCAATAATAGCAAACTATGGATGGAGGTGATCTTTGTGTTTTTTTTGGATACAATAATGAATGCATAATCATCATTGAAAGCAATAATGATGTAAAACTCAATAAAGCACAATCTGCACAAGTTGCATGAACAGAGCCTGCTGCTACACAGTTTAGCACCTAATAAATTTATTGCGCTAATCAGTCTCTTAAATGACATATTTGTTGTTTGCACCTCAAAATATCAAAATCCTTGTAGCCACCCTTCACACCATAGTCACCAATGCTCCTTGTGTTCTCCTGATTTCCAATCCTACGATTTCGCAGAATTTGTTGAATGTCCAAGCCAAGGTTTGCCAGACGTTCAAGCTCTTCTTTGTTATTTGTGACATGGTCAACACTTAACTACATGTGAAAAATATTAAAACAGGTTAGTTGCTAGAGACCAAGAGTAGTCCCTGAAACTTTCAATTTGCCTATTTTGCAGGGTTGTTTTCCAAAGGAAAGCAACAATTATGTGCAGAAATGTGTAAAACTAATGCCCATGTAGAGTGATTGTCTCTCAGGATGAGATGAAAATTTTTTTAAAAATTGCTTGCCCTTTGGACAAGCTGCAATATTGAATTTTACTTGCCTGGAGTCCATTTCTCGAAAGGCCCAGTAACTTTTCGGGCCCAAAGGCAAATTTTAAAATCAAAACCTATTTAATAGTAGCACAATTCCTAGCACACAAACCGGTCAATTTTGCTTTGTTAATTGATAATTCCATTGTATCATTTTCAAAGTTATTGAAACTTTGATCTTAAATGCAAACACAACAAACATAAAAGTAAACATCTTCCAGGATGAAAAAGTTACCCCGACTTTCGAAAAACGTGCACCTGGGCAGTTGCACAGGTATACCAACCCACTTTTTCACTAATATTTCCTTTTACCTTGGCAAAAGTTGCTTGCCTGTCCAACAGCTAGTCAGTAAAACATGCTGGCCCTAGGTAATTGAACAGCACTTCTGTCCAGGTGCCCCCTTAAGTTTAAACCTATTTGATGAAGCTTTTTGTTTCCCTGCCACTAATGCCATCATTTCTCACTTTTATAAACAAAGTTACTATATTATTGCTTGTTTTTTAATCACGTGACAAGGTGGCAGTGCTGTTGGACAAAACAATAAAATTTTTCTTTGCAGAATTTGCATGAAATCAGAGTTTAGTTCCCAGGGGAGAGAAACTCTTTTGCTTTCGTCCACCAGCATGGCCACTGTGACATCAGCTGAAAACCAGCAATATGTAATTGTCGAGGACTAGATGAGCTCGCAATCCCAATCGGGAGGTTGCTGTTACACAAGTCATACACAGCACATAATTATGTAGCTAGCATTTGTTTGGACTTCCACTAAGAATGAATGCAAAACTTAGAACACAATCTGATCACGTGTTTGGACCTCCTATTACTTGTAATATGATCACATGCATTTCGAACATCTATCACGTCAAAGTTGCGCAAAGCTCGCCCTCACTAACTCTCCCTAAACTTTGATCATTACAAGTTAGTAAAAGGTCTTGGCTATTACCTGTTCAACCGAGAGGTGGCCTTCTGGTGTCACTCTACAAAGAAGTGCTCTGGAGTCACCCACATTACCTACAAAGAGTTTATTCTGGAATATAAGAGCCAACACTGCTGTAGTACCACCACTGATCTCATCTTGTAAAGCTTGGATCCTCGCAACATGGTCTGGAAACTTTTGGTAAGCTTCATAGGAACTTAAACCCTGAAAAAATTACAAACTTTGATACATGTTCCCCTGACCTTTAACCAAGGGCTGATATTTTTTGGTAAGGAAACCAAAACAGTTACACCTAGTACAGTAAAAGTGTTTCCACAGACAGCACTTCCTCTGAAACAACCGAAGAGAAGTGAGCAATGACACAAGGATATAAATTCCTACTGTTTTATTCAAATTGTCAAGGAGGGATCAAGTAGACAGGGCTGATGGCCACCTTCACTGTTCAATACTGTCAACTGAAACAAGGTCTCATAGCTCACATACTCATAGCAACAGCAATCTTACTGACATTTTAAGAACTGGACTTAAATGGGCTCAAACATTTTACCTGACAGGCTTACCAGAGCTTTTCCAAGGCTGGGTTCAGATGCCATACTTCACATGAGCCCCATCGAATTTGAGATTTAGGCAGACTCAAATTAATTTAGATTCAGATGCCAAACTTTCTTCCACCTGAACTTAATTCAAAAGGGAAAAAAGTGCATTTGAATAAACTACCTTATAAAAATTATAAAATTTATGCATTTGGTTTGGCTCATGTGAAGTTTGACATCTAAATCAATGACAGTCCACAGCCACTATTCCCAGCTGAGCCAGGTGTGAAGAAAGGTTGAGCCAATCCCAATTCAATTTGCCGTACAGGAATATGACTAAAACACTATACTTCACATGAGTTCAAATAATTCACTGAATTCGATTCAGCTCATATGAAGTACAGCATCTGAACTAAGCACAACTGACCTAACCAGGTTGTGGTCAGTTGCAGAAATTGTATTAAACATTCTCCAAGGTGGAGGCTAGGTGTTCAGGCAACCAACATGTCAAACTCTTTAGGGCAGGATTCAAACCTTGACATCTGTTGCTTCCATTAGGCCTGCTTATATTCAGGCAAGACAGCCTGGTTAAACAGGCTGGCCTGGAAGGCAGGTCAATTCTTGTCTCCTGCAGGGGTTTCAGTAATAATTAAAGTAGTCAACTGTAACAACAAGGAGTTCCCGCATTACTCCCTCTTTTCTATGGGGGTCTGGGAACATGCTCACCCAGGAAATTTTGAGATTGAAAAGCCTTCAAATGCAAATGCTAGCGTTCTGTGGACTAAAATTGAGTACAATTGAGCAAATTAAAGAAAATGTGTTTCGATTTATCAGCCGCTCAATCAATGATATATTATTCATTTACAATGTTATTAAAAACAGTTGCTTCTTCTTTCGGGAATTAAAAATTAGCTGACTTCTCTAAGCAAAGTAGCCGATGCATTTCGTTATTCATTGGTGCTTATTGAAACCCCTGCTCCTGTATGGAAACTAACCGCAACTGGGCTCATGTGACCATTTTGGTGATAAATTGAAAAAAATTGCAAAAGAAGGCTGGTTAGTTTGCATCTCACAACCACTGTTTTTTTTTTACATTTTACAGCTTTCCTGGATAATTTTGACTTCAAAAATTGATGTTCATGTAGTAAGGTACAACACTGTGATATCCTGGGTGAGCAAGAGTGCCTTTCAACCTGGCAATAGAAGCTAGAGCATTTATACCACATAAATTTTTCTAGCCCATTTTTAGTCCCCTTTCCCCCCTTAAAATTACCCGGCATTTTGATTTCCAGTGCAATTTGAGACAGTAGTAACCTCTCTTTCAGCTGGTGAAATTAAGCGCTAGCCAGCTCTTAGCAACAGCTGTGAAAAAAAGCCTCTTATACCACATCTATCACAATGTTATGTAGGTTTGTCCATTGGTAGAAATTCCTACCTCTGGCAGTTGTAGCTGAAGTTCCCATTTCTCAGCAAGGGCGTCATCTAAAGACTGGAAAAAACCTTTTTCAACAGCAATAAAGGCTTGTCTGATAGCTCCCTTGATCTGTTCATCATTCATCGTAACTGAGGAAGAGAAAGAGGGATAAGACAATAATTCTGTTTCTTGCACTATTCATCAGCAGTGTTTACTGTGTACTGCAGAACAAAGCTTTTAATTAGAGAAACAACATGACAGCAGAGGCCCTCACAGATATAAGCCTACCATTATATTCATTATCCCTCACTAAAACATCGAGCTGAGACTTGATGACATGAGTACCCAGCCTTAGTATAGGTATCCTCCATGCTCATGTGCTTGTAGTTAGCAAACAGGGTCTTTTAAACACTTTGCATCTTTCACACAATGGACTAGTAACAGCAGCATTTTCATTGACATATGGAAACTCAACACTACTATTTTTTAAGGAGAAAAGTACTATGCATGGCATTCTGTTGCAGACAAAATCGTACCAGTGCCAAAAACATGTTGAAAACATAATACGTAAATCAAAAATATTATTGTGAAATACCGGTACATTGAATGCAAAACGAAATAAGATTCAAGATTTACAAAATATATTTTCATGAACACAAAAATAATTAGCAAATAGTGGGACTACAAACACAAGTTAAAATTTTGAAATTTGAGTCCAAAAAAAATGCAAGTTGAGAAAGAGACAATGCTGACCAGTTGTGTTGTCAATCGATGTCTTCACTTCACCAAGACAAGGCTTTGATCCAAAGAAGCGGTTCATTGGCTACCAAATATCGCAGAGTTTTTCAACTCGACTCGCATTTTTTTGAGAATCAAATTTCAAAATTTTGACTCCTGTTTGTAGTCACAACATTTGCTTAATATTTAATTTTTTGTTGGTGAACATATTATATTTTGCAAATCTCGAATCCTATTTTTTATTGCATTTGATTTATATGTTGTAGTTAATTTTTTAGCATTGGTATGATTTTTTCCCCAATGGCATGCCATAACTATGCTAGCAGACTTTTTTTTTCCAGAATGTTTTATAGCATTTACAAAGTCATTCACATGTCTGGTGTTTGCATTGTTTGACTTGTTTAAGTTTGCAAGAAGGTAAACAAGCCAACCCACATGTGAATACTGACCAGTGTTGTGAAATGCTAAAAAATGTAAAAATGCTAAAAATGCTAAAAACCATGCCAGAAGGAAACCTCTACTCACAAGTTAGGAGAAAATGGAGGGATTCCAGAACCCCTTAGTCTACCCCTGGGTAGACTCCTGGTTTAAAGAGGGCTTTTTAAAACCCGTGGCAAAACAATTTAAAAAAATGAAATTCATTTTTGTAAAATCCTAAGAAATAAATAGAACTAGGCAAACGTTCCGCCATCAAGATTTTATTTGAAAGGTAACAACATAAGATTTTTCCACAGATAAAAAAGTTTATAGAGCGACAACTAATCTCCTGGTAACTTAGTCTAGGAGTGAATAAAGAGCAAAGACATTTCACTGTATGGACAAACCTGTCAGCTGGCCAAGCAAGAGCTCTGCAGGAAGACGTTGCACAGTAAAATCTGAAGCACGCGTGCCATCATGTCCATCAAACACACCATACAGATACTTGTCATCTACATTGAAATGAAAATTCCTGTCCTCAAACTCATGTTCTTCCCTTCTTCCACCATCTTCTCTGTATCTCTGATTGGTCAAAAAACCAACACCAGATAGCCTGCACACTGGAAGATCATCTGTCCAATTTTCCACTGGGCTCTGAGACTAAACAAAAGAAGGAAAAAGTTTGATGTATCATTTCAACAAGAAAAAAAGACTGCTAGCAGGGAAATTTAAATAGAAGTAAAACAGTATAAAACGATATATCGATATCAACTTGCAATTCCACACGAATACTTACAATAGTCGATGATCGTTTCGTTGCCATAAATTGCTAACAGATGAAAGAGGTTTGTTTATATCTGAACATTTCCGATTGCCTCTGCACTCGTAGCTCCATCAAAGATGGAAGACTCTATTTTTTGACGGAACTGGCGAACTGGCACTAGTTTCAGTTTGTTATCGTACCCAGGCCCTCCTCCTCCTCTCGAGTCCACAAGGAAAATTCTTTGCCACGATATTTGCTATCTCTTTTTTCAAAAAAAGGTTTCATGTTTGCATCAATTGGATTCCAAAAATAATGGCCAAGTTTTGTTACTTAAGACTTTATTTAGGTATTGAAACTGTCTCCTGTCATCTGTTACAAGGCATGGTAACGATTGTCATGGATTGAAACTTGAAAAAATTGGGCCAATTTCTGCTCCCTTCAGTGCCCCGTCCCATGAGCCCCTGCCCGTCCCCACTATCTGAACTCCTGGAACAGGCTATTCGTCCCTTGAAATAAGCTCTTACTCCATTTATTTGAGGGGCAACAGTTTTCATTGTAAGGAACTTATGAAATTACCGAATTCAAATAAAAGTGAATCAATCAATGTCTTGAACATATGGAGAATTGAAAACGTTACAGTCAAGAAGACTTTTGCAGGGACTGATCAAACAACGTGAAATAGAGTTAAACTGCGGTATTTCGACTGGCCAATACCAGTCTACATCAGGTTTATTGATATATCACGAATTTACAGAAATATACATGAAGTAAAATAATGACCGGAAATTACATAATATGACGCGGTATGGTGTACCTACTTAAGGAGACAAGATAACAAAAAAATAAAAGATATACTATATATATAAACCTGATGAAGACTGGTATTGGCCAGTCGAAATATCGCAACTTAACTCTATTTCACGTTGTTTGATCAGTCCCTGCAAAAGTCTTCTTGACTGTAACGTTCTCAATTTTATCTATTTTGACTGATCACGATCTTTTTGGATCCGACGTTGAGCAAGATTGTTCACACACGATTTTTCTGCAGTAGTTTTTTACCTTAACTAAACATCCTATGGAGAATCTCAACACGTCCTCATTTAAGAGTAGTAATTATTAAGGAATGGGACAACATAAAAGAAAAAGTAGTTGTACCCGGGTCTGTGCATGAAGCTGACCAGTGCCAGTTCGTTTCATTGAAAGTGGGAAACTGAAAACAAGACAAAAATCAACTCCCTCCTTCAATTCATCGAGCCGGAAAAAAAAACTGACGCGCGCTTCTCTTTTCACTCTAAACCGGAAGTTAGCGCGCAGTTTGGATATCCGGTCACGTGGTGTTTAGCGCAAGAAAAGTTTTCATCTTTTCCCTTCGGCCGTTCACGACATCATCGGTTTGTTTTTATAAGAATTTTTCCCGCTGGAAGTCGACATTTGAGCGTCAGAGCACAAAAATAGCGGGCCGTGGTTATGGGTAAGTGCTGTTCAGTTTGTGTTTCTGGCTCAACTAGTGATACGCTTCATCGAAAGCCTTCGCAGCAAACCACAAACACAGTTACTAGCAGCACGTTAAACCATTCATATCCACCACACGACAGTGTAGTGCAGGAACCATTCAAGACTAAAGCGGCTGATAAAAACGTAATGGCTGGTAAATACAGTCCACACGATGGTATGAGAACGTTTTCGTATTCAAAGCAAGAGGCTGACTTAACAAAAATTAACTCTTTATTTGCTAAATACAAGGACGACACTGAAGATGCCATTCTCGCTGATGGAATGGAGAAATTTTGTCAAGACTTGGGAGTTGATCCAACTGAATTTATCGTTCTAGTCATTGCTTGGAAATTCAATGCTTCGCAGATGTGTCGTTTTACCAGAACAGAGTTCGTAGAGGGTTTTAAAGCCCTCAAAGTAGACTCGATTAGAAGCCTTCAGAATAAATTTCAAGAACTGGAGGCAGAAGTGACAAACGATGTTGAGAAATTCAAGGATTTATATCGCTTTACGTTCAAGTTTGGACTGGATGTCGATGAAGGCCAGCGCGCCTTGCCGAAGAACATCGCACTTCCTCTTTGGAAGCTGGTTTTTTCAAAGAACGTACCAGCTGTTCTTGATCGTTGGTTTGCCTACTTGGAAAACAGGCAACTGCGGGGGATTTCACGGGACACATGGTATATGTTTCTAAACTTCACCGAGGCGATCGAGCCAGATTTCGAAAATTATGACGACTCTGAGGCTTGGCCAAGTCTCTTTGATGATTTTGTGGAATCAGAAAGGGAGAAGGCTAAACAAGAGGGTAATGGAGACGCGGAATTACGCGAAGAAAAGCAAGAAAACGGAATTATCAAAGAGCAGAGTTCATATTCCTTCTAAACCCTTAACGTTCAGTCTCTAATTTCTAATCCTTTAGCTCTAATCCTCACAAGTTGTGAGCTTGTACGTGACCTGACAAAAAACTGTGCCCGATCTTATCTTTGAAACAACACAACGAAGTTAACAATTGCCTCCAAACGAAAGGCTAAGAAAATTCGCAAATATTAATCGAATGTGCGAATTACAGGAATGCCTAGCCTCTCCACTTTACATACTTTTAATAAAGTAAACATTTCGGGATGCACGCCTAACCGTTTTGCGGAGACATTTTTGTTGACAAAGGGGCTGCGCTTTATTTTGGAAAAGGCTTCATTAAACTAAATTTTATTGCCAATATGTTTTATTTTCATTTTCCTATAGCTCAAAGATCACTAAGCCTAGGCCAAGCCAAGCCAAGGAGATTTCACAGATTTGAAACAGGAGCTGTAAACTAATTTATTATTTTAAGATTATTATAAGCTGACTGCTTTTAATGTTTCGAAGTCGAGAGAGATCATCATAAGGTTAATGTCAAAAGTGATAACCAGGGGATGTACAGATAGGAATTTTTTATGAGTGTATTTGTTAAGTTATGATAGTTTTTGTTCAAATGGACTTCTTGATCAGTTTACAAGCTTACGCCTCTGTGTCAAAACCCCCTTTAATGTATAAGTGTAATCAACACACTTTCTCTCGTAACAATCAGCCAAATAACAGCCAATAAAAAATAATTTTGTTTAAAGAGTTGGGGAGAATGAGCGACTCCATTAACATTTTCTGGGATTAATTCCTTTTTGATGCGTCACCAAGTACCGGTACCCTTGAAAAGGCCTGCACAGCAAGCATTTCCACATGAGTTCGTCCAGAAAGTTTGGACAAAGACAGAAAAGGGGTCACACAATAGCTTGATTGGAAACGCTTGCTATGTAGGCCATTCTTGAAAGAACATAGGCTAGAATATAATAATGTGTTTCAATTTCCAGGGCAAATGAAAGTTTATGTTTATTTAATATTCTTGTCTTTCTGGACATAGCGCTTTTATAAGGAGAATTTTATTGTCTGATGTTACAGTGTTGATTACATGATGTGTACATTGTGTGCATTGAGAGAAATAAAATGCTTGCTTTGCAAGTTTTGTTAAGTCTCCTTCCAAAAATACCGTAAAATTCCGAAAATAAGCCTCTCCATGTATAAGTCCCTCCAAATATAAACCCCCCAAAATCATAATGCAAAAAACCCTCCGTTAAATCGCCCCTCCAAATATAAGCCCCCTGTGGACTTGTACTTGGAATTTGCCCTCGAATACAAAGTAAAACAAAGCGAAAATGGTAAATTTCCTTCCCACTAAAAGCTAGCCCTATCGATTTTGAAACGCAAATTTCCCTCCGTACATAAGCCCCTCCGAACATAAGCCCCTCCGAATATAAGCCCCTCCAAAAATAAGCCCTCAAAAGGGCCTTTGAAAAATTTAAGCCCGGGGCTTATTTTCGGAATTTTATGGCATGTATTTCAGACTTCTCACACATTTCCTCCCAGTATACAAAGAACGTATGTTTAAAAGGCTTGCTTTTTATTTATGTTATTGTAGGAAAAAAACAGAGCACCAGATTGCCTGATGGGCCTTTTTCTATCCTGAAGCTCTTAGTAGCTAGCCCAAAATTTAGTTGAAAAAAAAACATCGGTCCTCAGAAGATGGAACAAAATTGTGTGACAACTTGTGATGAAAACTCAATTAGAGTAATGGAAAGAACTTTTGTTGCACCCTGACTGTGCCCAAAATTAACCTCTTTTTGAGTGAAACAAATGAAACAAATTTCAAAGAATCAACGGTAATCACTGAAATCAATAATTTATATATTTTGGAACTGGGGAGTGAATAACACAGTTGTGTTTCCTGGTGACAACTCATCTTTTGCATTGCACCCAACTGACTTAACACATGAACCACTTCATATTATCCACAAAAAACTGGTTCATTACAAGAAAACTCTAAAGCAAAACAACTAAGTTGTTTCCAGCCCAGTGGTGAATCCTGCCCTTCTCTAGCCTGCGCACAGCTGCCTTCTCTCAGGAGAGAAATGATTTTTTTTCTTCAGGGGAGGCAGCGGCAGACATACACTAGCTAGACCTTGTCAGGGGGGAGCCTTCTTCCAGACGTCCAGATAAGGAGAGAGGTTAAGGGGAAGATACATTGATTATTCACTGGAGCGGTCCAAAGAGGCCCATAGGAACAAATTTGCAAGTGAGATGGCATGATGGCCTGTATGGCAGACACCAAAAGGGGAGTGGAGTGGGAGAGAAAAAAGAGGAAGGTTAAGTATAACAAAAATGTTTTTCAGGAAGAAACTGTCTTTTGAGGAGTTTGGCCTAAGGAGTCGTAGGGTAAACCTTTCTCAATCCCATCCCCACCCACCCCCCCCCCCCTCCGGAATTGGTACGTGTGGTTCAGTGCTTAAATTGGTGTTGGGAGGACAAAAAAGTAGGGGAGCCTGTCGAATTTGTTTTGGTGCTGCCCATCCACACACTTGCAATCATCCTGTAACTCATACCAATGACATGTCAATAAGGTAATTAGACCTGTCAAATTAAGATGTTTCGCCTCTTGAAACCACATTGATAAGGTCAGGATGCATAAATAGAAAGTGACTGAGTTGGGATCACGAAAAGTGACCAAGATGGGGTCCATAACTGGCCAAAAAACAGACTACAGTGGGGTAGAGGCTCTGAGAGGCCACCGGCACATACCCAGCAAACATTAACCCAAGTACCCCCGGGCTCTTTTCTTGGCCCTAAAAGCCTTGGTATGGTGCCCAGCGGGGTACTCCGCATTTCAAGTGACTGCAATGACCGAACAGAGGCAAAAATCAAAACCAAAAATAAATCCCTAAGGCCTCCAACAAAACCAAAAAACTCCCTGGACCAAAAGTTAACCCCCCAAAAAACTCACAGGCCGAATTTATACCCCAACTATATTTGCAGACTATTGTTTGATCAAGCCACCCAAGGAAAATACTTACCAAATTTTCCTACCTCAAAAAATCCTGGAATCGAAAATTTCACACCTCAAAAAAAATTCTTCAATCATCCCTGTCACTTGAAATCCCGGGTAAGGAAATCAGTTGTAGTGTTGCTTAGGTAGCCCAGCTGAGTAAGCAAAATTATTGCAAGCTGATGGGGAACTAGACTCAATGTAGTTGGCCTCTCCTTTGGTTCCCTCTTGGTTTATTAGCTGTCTCCAGTCTCCATAGTCTGAAATGTCAGCGGTCTCTACCCCCTAACCCAAAGGGGCACCTCCCACAGGTTAGGGGGTGGAGATGGCTGAAATTTCATGAGGTTACAGTCTCCAATGAGTTTTCCCATTAACTTGCCCAATATAAAAGACTCCTAGAAACCTGTTACACTTAGCACTTGAAAAAATATTATTTTGTGATTGTTTGAATCTAAAAATAAGAAGATGAATGTTAGCGCAGCCAATCAGGGTAAGATGACAGCTAATAATCAGCTACCTCGTTTCCAGTGTTTTGCAGCAACTTTTTGGTCAGCTCAGAAAAGGCTGCCTGAGAATAGTCCATGACAAAATTGACAACTTGGGAGAGGGGACAATGTTCCATTTTTTAGTTTCTTGTCATTTCCAAATCATAACCTCTACAGACACACTCTCTACCAACAAGAATGATCCTTACCAGTCACCCTGGGGACAAATTTGATGAGAATTCATAGTATAAGTGTGCTCTTTTTGGTGTCAAGGATGCCTAAACTTTATGCTCTGGTCTCCTAATTCACACATAACTTCCTTGTCATGGTGCGCCCATTCAAAACAAAAGGTTTAAGCTCAGGGACCGAATAAGGGACAGCATATTCCCTTGGCTGTGCCTGGAGACAAATTGGATAAATGGTTTGTTTGGGCACCAGCATATAGTTTGGGCAAAACTGGGTGAATGCCCAGTTATGAGGCACAATTTGTGACTCCCTGTGCACAAGCTAAAATACCCTTGCACTGAACAAGGCCAGCCACATTCAATACAAGCTCGTCATAACTCAAATAGATGCAGGAATGAAAAGCAATCACCAATCACAAGCAAAAAATGTGTAAAAGTCTGAGGAATTACAGTGTAGATCATGCTTCCTTTGCCACTTGATATACTTTTGATGACAGCTTTTTGAATTGTTTTCCACAAATGTTTGACACATATTGATCCAATCAAAATCCACAGTGTTTTGAAGGCAGAGTTGTGCATTTGGGAAGTCATTAACAAAATTAATTATTTGCCAATTTTCAATACAAAATGCACCAAGTTATAGCAACATTTGATTTGGCGAGGAGACTACAAAAAAACCCCAGCAGGTTTACTTTTGAGGTTTCATTTTTTTTAACTTCTTTAAAGTTGCACAACTCTGCCCTCACACATCATGGATATCAATATTATTTTGTTCTGTATAAATGAATCCATCACAGTACTTAAGGATTTTTGAAAAATAAATTCTAGTCTCAAAAGATCTCAGATTTTTTGGTATTGTAGCTTTCGATTGTATCACACATATCTTCATCAGCAATGAACATTCAGTATTGTCACATGACAACAAATGATTAAAAATCACTGGAGGTTCATAACCCCCATGTCTCTATTTATGGTTGATATGGATGGCCTCCTTGATTTTTCTTTTAATGTCCACCATCTCCTGGTCAAGAATCTTGACCCCTTCCCCACTCATTCACATAACAATAAAAAATACAGAATTAGTGTTGTAAAAATGCAGTACAGAAGGAGGCAAAGTTAAATTTTACATGGTGGAATTGGTCAAAGAATACATTGCCATTATTTTTCTTTTTTCTTCTAAACTCATTATAATACTGTTGTATGTTTAAAGACAAAAAAAAAGATTGGACTCATACAGGGATAAATCTGAAGCACAACAAGAGTAACCTGCAATCAGATGGTCCTTCTTCCTTTTATCTTTGGACGGCTGGTCTGCCACATATTGCACTTCCCCGGAAAAAAAAAACACCTCGTGATGATCGCAGGTTACAACAAAAGAGTTAAAGACATTCAACTGATTTGATAATCCAAGTACACCAAATTCAGAAGGTCACTACAATACAGTGTTCAAGAGCACCCACGAGCCAAGACCAATGGTTTTGTTGTTGTTGTTTTTTAGTTGACTTATGCTACCAGCCTCTTGCAAGGGAAAAGTTCCTTTGCTCTCGCCCTATTCTCCCCTTGTTTTTCCTCCTCATTCCCCCACGCACGATTTGACTCTCTCCCCACCATCTGATCACATCACTCTACTATCTGAACGTCTGAAACACGCTAAGTTAGAAGTGACAGAAAGCATAGCAACACAAGATTATGCAACAAAAAACTTTTTAATAGATTTGATTTGAAAGGCTTAACCTTATTCTACAAAGGATCACATTGTAACATCAATAGCCAACACTTTCTTAAAAATGAAAAATTAAAGTCAGTACGCTGGCATAATTCTGACAGAGTGAATGATTAATACACCATTTACATGGAAGTTATTGGTGGCACTGCCAGAGAGGTCAGTCTGTTTAGAAATACTATTAAATTGTTCTCAGAAAATCACAAACCCTGCCAGAATCTACCATCTTTACCAATATTACTTATTAATGGCAATACCCTGTTGTGGAACAACAATAATTGTTGTTGTTATTTATTCATCAAAACAAATAGAAAATATTGATGTGGTGATTAGCCACAAGTATATCACGAAATAAAACTAATATTAAATTCCATTTTGTTGTTTAGGTTTATGCTGCCTATTCTGAGAGTAATTTTGTCTGCTGTCTGCAAATTGCACAAGGATTTCTGATACAAAAAAAAAATTGGAGGACTGACTCTTGCCTGCTTAATGCCTATAATGTCCTTACAGGAACTTGTTTCTGTTTTTTTTTTTTCTGTACAATATTATACCACAATAGACAGATGTTAACATCTATTAATATCTCTATAGTAAAACCGTTAGAGTAACCAATAAAATAAATTTTACTGACTGTTCTAACAATTAATAATTTTAATATTATTAACAAGTTGTTTACTATTATTTACACAAATAATGTATGATCACTTATAGTGATACTGGTATTATGTTCATTATTATACACAAACTAATGGAATACAACCTAGATGCAGTAATCCATTGCTTCACCAAAGTCACTCGGAGGATGAAGTGCAGTAGGTGTTTCTAAGTCAAACAGTGACAATGGCGTATGTTCATGGTCATCATACAAATTTAATGGCGGAGTCCCTTTATGATTGTTGTTATGTATTGATGTAAGTTCAACATTGGCATGTGGAATACTCTGCTGAGCTGTGGGTGACATGCTTAAGTCGAGCCAGCTCAAAGTGTCTGTCTTTCCAACAATACCATTCGAGGATGGGATGGGTATGGAGTTTGATGAGTTAAACAGTAAACCTGGGCTATCATCTGTGTCACAAGAGTCAATTTTCATGGGCGACAATGGACTTGTAAGAAAGTTATCAAAGTCACACATTGCACCATTTTCTGCTTGAAAAGGAAATTTGTTGTTAACCGACAACTGGCTTACATCATCACAGCTTCGTGACATCCTTCCCGGGGAGTTTTGACTTGGAGGAACAAAGCGTTGGCTTAGGTAAGATCCATAGCTTGGCGACTTGCTCATTGGTGGTTGATTTCCAGATGTTGTTAGTGAAGGAGTCATTATTCCAGCAAAAGAATTTGTTACTGCAGTTGTTGGGAACTGACTACAAGGCTCTATGAAGAATTTTAAGGACATGAATGTAAGCTTCAACTAGGTCACCCTACAGAGTCTGTTCACTTTGTTGCAGTAGCCATGTTAGAGGGGCAAACAAAGGGATAGTAGACATGTTGGAGGGGCAAAGTGGTCCACTGGGAACTGAACTCTATTTTTTTGCATACTGATCCTTCTGGTCTTCATAAACAATAATAGAGACCTTTAGATTCTAAGACGAGAACGACTACGAGTACGAGATTTTCTCAATAGCAAGTATTGCTCGCGCATGGGGCAGCGTTATTTTGGGCGGGAAAACGTGGTAGCCGTCGTCATTCTACTTCGAGTTTTAGCGAGAGTGTCGTAGTGGCGGACACAAGTTATCAAATGTTAGAAGTTTTACCATTTTGCAATCTGGAGAGAGCTCAACCTCCTTCAATTAACTTTTCTGGTGAAAAAAAGTACAATGAAGAATTCCGTGGTATCTATTTTTTGACAATACGCGAAAAAACTTCAAATCAAATCTCGTACTCGTAGTCGTTCTCGCCCTCGAATCTAAAGGTCTCTAATAAAAGCTTAGAATTGCTCAAAAAAGTAGGCAGCAAAGAAATTAAGGGGCTCCTGTGTCCAGTGTCAAACAATAACTTCTAAAAAGGTGACACAGGGTGAAAAAGAAGTCAGTTTTACAAGCTGTAGCTAGAATGTACTAGCCAAAGAGCCATTTTAACTAACATGAAAAATTTTTTTGATGAGCAGGATAATGATTACAAATTTTCTGTAATTTGAATTTCAGAAAACTTCGCTTGTTGATCAGGCAAGTTAAGATAGCCTGAAAGCAAAGTCCACTAGCCTCGGGCTATCAGACGAGACTTTCTTTGCATGCTGTGACTTACGCCAAAAAAAGTATTGATAACTGAGAAACATGCTGCAATAACCATCCGCGGCACTTACAGACCAACATTTATCAAAAAAGTTGGGGACAGTAAGCATCTATGTTAAATTTGAGGCCTTCTTGTCTCTTGGTTTGAAATTGCTTGGACCTTCAAATCACTCCAACCATTTTCACAGAGACCATAATGCACCTTGTTTACCCCCACCCCCCCCCCAAAAAAAAAATACTGCATAACGACTTCTCCTCTCTATTGGAAGCAATGGTTATGTCATGTTACCATGGTAGCAAATTTTTCAATGACAACAAACCGCAAACATCACTTAAAAAGGGAATTCGCACTGTTTCAAACTTTATCTGTCTTATTCAATTTCATTTAATTTGTGGAAATGTTCGCAAAATTTTCTGGGGTTGAGTCTGAAAGAAAAATTTTTTTGCCTTGTGTTCACCTACTCCAAAAAGAGGGCGCGTGACATTAGGAATCATGCAATGTCAACTAGGAAATGTACAAAAAACCGTGATGCATGTTCAAAGTTTTTGTTTTGCTAATATAAACCTATTGCTCTCTCGATGTTCTTCTTGCCGTCACCGTCGATGTTGCTTAAGCACCATATTGTTGTGATCCAGAAATTTTGCTACCATGGTAACCTGACATCACATTTCTCCTCTCTATTTCTCTGAGGTATTTACAGTAGTCTCAAGAGAAATTGAAGACAATGTTTATGCAAAATTTTGGAGGGGTTACTAAACAAGAAGCATTATAGTCTATGTGAAAATAGTGAATAGTTCGGAGCATTTTCATTCACAACTATCTAAAAGGCAGTTAAATATCTTGCCGGAAAGGGCCAGAGGTCTCCCAAGATACTATATTACCACACATCAATATCAGTGGGTTAAAAATATCATGTAGAGGCTTGCTACATTATCTAAAAGAATGAAATAGGTTCTATAACCAGGGACATGACACCAGTTCATTGATACTTACCTCCAAGTATTTCCAGTATGTCATCATGATTAAGTGAAGCAAAATTCTTCATCATAGCCTGCAAGAAACAGATCAACTTAAAACTACAAAAGTGTAAAGTTCTGTGAGTTCTGAGGTGCTTAACATTTTACACAAACCACCTGAGTGGAAATCTTGTGCATAAACATATAAAATTTTATATGGTGGGAGGACAAACCATTACAAAGTATATCCAAATTTGTTGAACAGACTAAACAGACTAAGAAAATTGCATCGTCTCAAATCACAGCCCACATTTTCTGAACCTTCAAAAACAGAATGTCATGAACCATTTGATTTTCCAACCAGAATTTCCGGTTTTACAATGTGAGTGGTAAGTACCCCATATTCTTGAAGCAGGTTTGCCTCTGATTTCCCCCAGCTACTTTCATAGGAAGCTAACGGAAAACACAACCAAAAGAACTTCCTAGCTGTTTACTTCCCCACCTAGTAATAGCAGTATAATCTGAGTACCATCCCTGCTTAAAGTGTCGATAACAATATTGTCCCTTATTGCTTCTCGGAGTTGTACCGTGCTAAATGACATTCTGTTTGTACTCTTTCTCAATAGCAACACATTGCTTTAACATCAATCAAACATAGTTACTGGGAGTCAAATCAATGAAATTTGTCACCCCCCAAGCCTCAAGTTTCTGCCTTTACTCATAGAAATGACGGAACAGTCTATTCATAAAAGTCAAATCACTTTTTGTGTATGACTAAATGAGGCTCACTGAACAGCTCTCAATCTAAGATACCTTCTGTAGTTCTTGACTTAATTCCTTGTCCTGAATAACAGAATCAAGATGGAAATCCATGTCATCCTGCTTTGGACTCACACTGTTCATGATGGGAAAGCCACCAACCATCTGGCTTCCAAAACTGACATTCTGAAACTGCTTTTGTGACTGGGCCGCCACAGCGGCTTCATAACTTGGTGGTGGGGTAGCAAAAGGGATTGATGGAAATGATGAGGTCCGCCTGTGAGTGGAAACAGGAAATTGAGGCTCAGACAAGGACCTGGGTTTTCTTTGTGGAACCATTGAGAGGTATTCATCAGAAGACCTCTCAGGATAGGATCCTGGAATGAGATGATTGTCAGGCTTTGCATTTCCATGGAAAACACTGCTGCTGTGTGATGAATCCATGCTATGAGAAAGGTTATCTGCTGGCAAGGGGGATAAATTTGACATGTCTGAAAGCTGAGAACCAGGTGATGGATATGATTCACTCTCTCCATCAAACAGTGGATGTTGCTGGTCCCACGACAGAACCTGGCTCTCAACACTGCTTGCGTTTGAGTCTATACTATCCAGTGACTGAGCTTGTTCGTGCAAATGTACCAAAGCCTGATTAACTTGGTCAACCTGTTGTTGCTTAACTTGTGTTTGCGTTTTAGCCAGCTGTTGCTGATGAGGATTTCTGGGTGACATCTGCACAGTCTGGCATTCTCGCTTTACAGCAAATGGCACTGGCTTCTGCTCTGAAGTTTGGCTCTGATTGACAGGACTACCCTGAAATGTACAGGTGTTGTTGGTAAGAGTCTCCGTTTTCACACTTGCAGTCTGACAAGTAACTGGAGTATCCATCAGCTTTGGCTGGATATTCTGTTGCTGCTGGATGTTCAAGTGCTGCAGCTGTAGCTGCAAGTTCAGATACTGGAGTTGCTGCAGTTGCTGCTGGACCTCAGGCGGGACTTTCAGTTGTTGTAAACTCTGGTTATTTGCTAAGATCTGCATCTGCAGCTGCTGCACGGTATTCAAATTTGGAGTCTGTAATGGTAGAGAATTTGATCTATGCAAGGGTGGATGGACTGAATTTGTTGGGAGAGCTGGAACACTGGAAGAAATTGGGGCTGATGTTGTTACTTGTGCCTGTGTAGACACTACAGGAGGTGATATTGTGGTGCTTGCATTTGGCTCAGGAGGTGGAAAGGCCCCAATCTCTTGAAGCCGCTTAATTAAATCAGTTTTTGAGCCAAACACTGGAAGTCCACGTTCCTTTAGAGCCCTTCTCATATCAACAACTCTCATCTCCTCAATTTTTACAGGTTTCTCTGCATTTGAGTTATTGTTCTTACCACCATTTGAGCTAACTTTTGCATTCTCTGGAATAGAAGGCAACATGCAATGATGCGGATAATTTTGAAACAACACCTGAAGCTGAAGGTAAAGCTGCTGCTGTTGTAAAAGTAAACCATATGGTGAGTCTGATGGTAATTCAGATTTCTGCACCTCACCATTAGGGGGCCTATACTCATGATATTTGTACTTCTTAACTTTTGGTTTGGCAGTTTTCTTGCGAGACCTGGCTTCCTTTTTTGTTCCAGTGGAAGACACTGGAAGCTGTGAAGGCAACACTTGCTGCTGGCCATTTTGCTGTTGTAAAAACATCTGATGTTGCTGCTGTTGCTGTTCTTGTTGTTCCAGAGAATGCTTGCGGGTTTGCGCTTGCAGTGAAGCAAGAGCCTGCACTGTGGACGTTATACATGTTGATCCTGGAGACGATGCAAAACTATGCGATGATGAAACGCTTGGTGGTGATGCAATGTTGCTTGAGTCAGGAGATGGTTCAGGTGAGTCAACACTTTCCGGTGAAATAGGTTCTCTATAATTTGAAGTGGTTTCAGTAAAAGGCACCGTTCCTTCTTGCACGGCATGGCTCATTTCAGTGCCTGCTTCTAAAATATTCTGTTTCACAAGTTCTAGTGGTCCAGGTCTAAATGATAACTTGTCATTGAGGTTATCTTCCAACTTTTTCCTTTTCAATCTCATCTGTTTGTCAACCAAAGATGGATCCACAGGTGTTTCTGAAGAAAAATGGCATATTTTTATGTACTGGTGGCACAAGTATATTCTAAAGGCTGGTTTTCACTAGCGACAGAGTTGGAGTCGTAATCAGAAGTGTAGAGCTTATGATCAAGTGAAACAGCATTTCAATTCTGCTTATGACTCCATCACTTACATTCCGCTTATGATCTAGTGAAAACCAGATTCTATTATAAAATACATTCATTTTCTTTGCGGGGGGGATTTCTGGGAAGTCGTAGTGGGGGTGCGTCGTCCAGCTCTCCTAATCTTGACACGATTTCAGAGAAATATCTATAAGGTTAATGCAAGAGAGTACCCCCCCCTGGTTTTATGTCGTCAAAATAAACACTATCAATTATTAACGTAGTAATGATAAAGCATATTAAGCGAGGGCAGCCATTAAATAAAGAGGTGTTTGAAGCTAGCGTACTACACTTTTTCATCGTCTCCTTCAAAAGATGCTATGACGAGTACCTTTTGGGGTTTTTCTTCACTTTTTGTTGAAGTTTCAACCTTTTGATGAGTTTTTTCCCTTCCAAAATGTGATTGCAAATCTCTTTCTCTGTGTAGCTAGTGTGTGTCTGTATATCCATTGAATAAAGATGTCTCTCAAGCTATCATTGGCACTTTTTTCAGTGCCTTCTTCAAAAGACGGTAGGATGGGTCGCTTTTGAGGTTTTTCTTCAGTTTTTGTTGAAGTTTAAACCATTTAAAATGTGACGGCCAACATCACAAACAAATCCAAACAGGTCACCCAATTACATCAGGCTTTGCTGAAACTACTTTCTTCTTAAAGTTCATTTTTTCATCACAGTTGCATTGGTCAACAATAATATCATTAAGAGGTTGTAATTTAATAAAGAGTCAGATGTAGATAAACTGCAACTGAATGAATGGAACAATAATTGTGAAATTAAAAGGTGGGTTGTATAATTATGCCTTTTGATAAAGACTAAGAGTCAAAAGGCATAACTGACATTATCAAAAATTGAAATATGACCAACAAAAAACAGTCATAATAAATCTTTTGCCTTTGTTTTATATATAAATGGATTGGTTTTTTAGCTATCTTTAACAAATTCTGTCTCTCAAACAAGATAATCCATAGGTTTAACAGAGCTCATACTTGGAAAAACGACAACAGAGAGAAGTCAGAGAAGAACAAAAGATTCGCACGTACTTAGAATGTGGTAAGGTCAATAAAAGATACTTTCTCGGATTAACTCTATTAATTTGGAATTCGTGGAAGTAAAAGTTGCGCAAATACTCTTCAAAGGTCAATGAAAAAGAGTGAGTTTACATAATCTCTTTCTGCTTCAGAAAACTTTGGTTTTATCTACAGACAAATTTACCACAAAAAAATAAAAATTCCAACGCGCTGAATGATATCGACAGTAAAGGTGTCAATTTCTTACTCTTGCTTTCAAGCACGTCAAAGAAACAGTGAAGGCGAAAAAGACACCAAATCCTATCCGTGTTTTCTTTGATGCAGCAAACTAGAGTGAGCAGATGTAACAGAAAGAATTATGACAGCTAAAACACTAGTACTGATGGGTATCGTGAGGTGAAAAAACAGAAAACGAAAGTTGCACAACCCACATAGCACCCGATCGAAACATTTTTCATGAACCGTTACCCGAGAAATTAAATCTAGCTCACAGAACAAAGTTCTTTAGATACAGTAACACATGGAAGTTATCAGGCTATGTTCTTTTTTGTGAGTGGACACACTTATTGTGAAAAAATATATGAACTGAAGGAATTCTCGACACAAACAAACAGTTGTTCTGAACAAGCCGACCGTTTAAAACTGACAATATGACAAGATATTCGGCTTGTGACAACTTTAAATTTGCTGAAAGAGTCGAAAACATTTGCCATACAATACTCTGTATGAATCCTTAGTTTCAATTCACACTGTCAAATCACGCGAACATAACTCCACTCCTGAAAGGTGATCGAGCTTGACAGGACAATAATAATATTAAAGTACATACCATATAGAATATGCTTTTGAATCAGCTGAGCGCGGTTTGGTCTTGCCCGTATTTTCTTTTGTAGAATATCACCAGTCTGAAAGACAAATTAATAAAAACAAATGGCATGTTATAAATGTTTTCTGCCTATCTTTTCATTTATTTATTCGCTCTCCCAACTATATTGAAGGGACCTCAATTCAAGGACCAACAAACACAACACGAGTCCGAAACTTGCCTTGGCTCTTTCGAGTTTTGTCCTCTGGGAGAGTATTGCCGGTGCAGCACTAACCGCTAAAAAAGACAAAATAAAAAAAGATGTTACAAGAAGGATCGAGGATGGATCACTTAATGGCAAGACCCCAGATACAAACCTGGCATTATTCCTATGCTCACAAGTTCTTGTCGAGGTCTTCTTTGCGAAAGCTTTCTTTCTAGAGCTACAATACAAGAAAAATTCACTCGCTCACTACTTAACGAAACAATAACTCGGAGATTTAACTCTACAGATAAGTAATTAACATCTCGCTGGCCCGAAGACAAGAAGAAAGGTCATCTTGAACCAAAAAAATCTTCAAGACGATGCAAGCTTAGCTTACCGTCTCTGTTACTCAAAAGCTGTTCATGGCTCATACACGGTTGAGCCCCGGAAGGCGCCATTGCTTGGAAACCTCCAGAACTCGGAGTGTTCCAGGACATGTTACAGAGGCAGTGATTTTTGCATGAAACTCGAATAACCTTCAGTCTTCTAATATTTCTGCTGTTGTGAGTTTCCTTGTAGAAAACTCTCCTCTGAACCCTAGGGTAGGGGCAAGGCATGACATGAAGAACCCGGATGTTGAGGTGATGTCAGAGATAAAATTGGATTGTCAAGAAAGTACTGTCTCCTGTGTTCTGATTGGTCAATTTTGTTCACTGCGTGACAGTCTGTGCGTGACAGATTACTCCACGTGTGACTTTTGAAGATTCAAGAAATAGAAATGATTAACTAACGTTATCAGTTCGATAAATTGATAAAGCGATGGAAAAAATCGAATTCCAAAGACAAAAAACTTTGACTAGATTTTCTTACCATTTCCTATGTGGAAATTTGTGGTAGTCAGCCAATGCTCTAGGAAAGTCATCACTTCCTTTCAATCTCTTTAAATGTCAGCACAAGTGCTCATTTAGTTTCGTTTCGTTTTCCCGTCTTGCCGAGACGAAGCTCTTCTCTTGTTATTATATTTCTGACCAAAGAACAACGCTAACACTTTGTTGTATGTTTTGCTTCGTACAAGAAAGGCTGTTCTCTTTATATCAAGCCCGCAGACCTATATTAGGTCATGTCAGTTTATTATTTCAAGCAGACGCCTCGCTTGGCTTCGATTACAAAGTCTTTTCTTATTCATGTGACTTCCGAGGGACTTCCCAGTCTGAATAGGTAGGACGTAGTATTATAATGCTATTATTTCATTTGCATAACTCAAGGGGGATTAAACTATTCATCTATTTTACACAGAATGGCCATGGTCACTGGCAATTCTTTCAGTTCAATTACTTTGAATTTTTTCGAAGTATAAAGAAATACTGAAATATATTTTAAAACGGCGATCGCACGCAAATTGTCGATCTCGAATGACCGTCGCTCGCAGGCAAGCAGGTTATGTGTAAAACTTGTCTTACCTTTTTGGACATGCATAGTTGTCTAAAACCTCTTAACAAAGCTGTTCGATCGAAGCCTGGTCGTTTCATTCAATGGAATCCACCCCAGTGCAGCTTGCTTATTCATTGAAGTGGAAGTGTCACAGAAACGTAATCAGGCACACTACGTCAAAGATTAGACGATTTTTGGAGGTCGACCGGTCTTGAAATTCAACACTCAAGGTCTGTTATTCGAAAACTGAAAGTCACGCAAATAAATTATCTTTACTTTACAGCGCGTTTATGTTGTCTTTAAATCATAAATCCGAATTTTGTGGAGAAGATCATACTTCTGGAGACTATAGAGACAATTTCCTGACATACTTAGTGAGATTATTTTTGTAACTAAAGCAATATTTTAAAACCGCGATTTTTTGTAAACGTTTTTTTTTTTCTGTCACACAAAGCCTCGCAGATTCTTCTTCGTAAAGAACGATAGCAAACAAATATTTTAACAGAGCACAGATATAAAGGTGGTGAGTAAAAGTAACCATGACTGTTAACAACATAAAAAAGCATGTACAGTTATTACTATTATAATTTAAAAAGAAGAAGGAAAAAGCATATTGGGTACCTCTTTCTCTCGCGCGCGTTTGCCTCGTTCGGTCGCACCGCACCAATAGACTTCCTGGTAAGGTTGTGCTCTGGCGAAAACTTTGAAAATGAGTCAAGAAGAGAGAAATGGAAATTTTTAAAAGTTGAATGCTTGTTGTCGCTGACGAACTAACATAGGGTCTGCGTACCAACTCATCGAAACACGGCGAACTGCGCAGGCACCGTGTGATCATCAAGACAAACCGGACATATCTTGTGCCATATATATGGTTGCAACATGCAGTTCTCCTCAAACGTTTTTTTTTTTTTCGCGGAAAATCACAGTTTGATCCCGAGTATCATATTATAATCAGGGTGAGTTTAATCAAGTTTGTCAAGTTTATACCTGAAAAGACCGATGCAAATCGAAGGATTCACTCAGCTATAATTTCCGCCGTCATACAAATCAGACAATCTGATTTTGGAAGTTCAACGGAACAAATAGTGGTCGAAGTTTCAACTAGTTGAGGTAAAAAGAGTTTTAAATAACCTGAGTTTATGGCCACGGAATTAAAGTCATTTAAACACAGACGTGTACAAAATAATAATAAGCTAATCATATAAACCAGCGAAATAAAATTAGAATTGATACCTAGCCTTTGAATAAGATCATCAAAACGTGTCCAAAACGTTGAACTTATGGTGCACCTTTCATGGGCAAAAGTAATAATATTCAGCGTAAAAATTCAACGCGGTGACGCAAACTGAGTTGGCAGGGTGCTAAAAGGGTGATTCCCCTACTTTTGGCCGATTTTGTCCTGATGTGCGTCAGTGCGAACACGGAAAATTCAGAACAATTACTATCGCATGACCTTCAATATAGTCAGAGCTGTATCGGATTATACATATAGCAACTCATTATACACCCACGGATACGAATACGCTGGAAGGTATAAAAGCAGTGGGATGGAAAGTCTTTGTAGCGTTCAGTTTCTCGTAACACTTGATGGTTTGAATTTTAAAATTTCTGACAATCAGGAATGGTGCTCACGGGCTTCTTTAAGACGGTCATTAGTTTTATAAAGTAGTGACAGTTACAATCTATTCTTGTATCATCGATCTATTTATGGTTATAATGAATACTAGGAGGATTTCATCCCTGCAAAGGCTGCAAAATTACTGCTTTTCGGATCACTGCAATCGACTCAAAACGCCGGTGCAAGTTTAAAGAGGCAGAAATTGTTAAGCTTGCTAAAAAAAACATGGGTTGCCCTCCATCCATCATATTTGTCCAAAATCGGACTACAGTTACCGTTAACCTGAATAAGGGACGGCGTGTAACGACTTTCCGTTTAATTTCTTCATTAAATACCCCGTAAAGGAACTCAGCTTTTCTGTCCGAGTTGTCGGGAAAACTCGGTTCGCTTTTGTCTACTGTTTTGTTGACATAGTTCATTCATGTTCCTGAAACCAGGAAGTGATTAGGGAGTGACTTCCTCGCCGTTATATTCGCTTCAGACGTGCAGGAAACACAATATAACGTTGATCGTCTCACGAGTCTGAAAAACGCCCCGCCTAGAAACAGGCTAAATAGCCTCTGAAGTTTAAATTTCTCATTTTACTGCTGAAATAAAGTTCATATTTCGGGAAGTTTCACCCAAAAAAGAATTAAAGTTTGTACTGATATTTAAAAAGGCAAATTTATAATAGAAACAAGACTCAGCGGGAAGAACCGTGATTAATAATAATAATAATAATAATAATAATAATAATAATAATAATAAATACTAATGATTTAAATGGAATTGAAAATACTAAAAAACCATCATTGCCTTTGTTTTAAACCATAACTTAACGAAAGCACGCTGAAGAAGCCTTCTTTAGCGTGCTTTCGTTAAGTTGAACTGAATAACCGTGCTTTTTACCTGAAAATATCAAATATTTTTTACCTATCTTTTTATCGTTTTTTTTCAGCTGGTTTATCAGTCTTTTCCTCTATGTCCTTATCCCTTCTTATTATGTCGCCTCTCACTGTGTTTCTAGCCTCTAAATATCGAGGACAAGAAAGCAACCATTATGATTTCACAACCGGTTTTGGCCCGGCGTTTTGGTATTAATTTAAAAACCCTAAAAACACATTGGAATTTTAAAACAAACTTGACATCATTGTTCAGTTTTATTGAAAGTTACTCTACTACTGTGCCTTTACTATAAGTGTTTGTCTTTGGCTTTCAATGGCCAGGATTGAAACAAAACATTGCAATTTTAAAACATTGGGCCCTTTTTCTCAAGTTAAACTCTTGCGTGAAAAATGAAGCCGGACTAAACGGATGACTGCCTTCCTCGCCCCTTGTTAGAAACATTTGATATCTTTCTTTTCTTTTTCTAAAGAGTTACAATCATGATTAAAAATGACTGCCGAGAATACTTAGCGATTATTTCAGCTCCGTTCCAAAAAATGTGCAACCCATCATGTCGTAGCCCTAAAATTAGAAACCCAAACCACAAATAGCCTCCTAGTGCACGTGGTGTTTAAATGAGGGGCGTAAAACCTTACTGGAGTTAGTTAACATTTGTTTAAATTAGTTTAGTTACGTTATGGTGTAATATGAAATTTTATGGCTATTTAAATTAGATGGCTTTGGCACTATTCACTTTTCCCCTCTAGCATTTCATAAAATACAATATGGATTTCCCACAAATTTAGGCATTTGATCCTCTTGGAAGTATAAGGCTTAAAAACGCAAAGCTGGCGAATCTGCTTTAACACATCTCGAGGACTCTTTTATTTCATTCATCTAGTGGGCTTTCATATTCTATGAAAACAGGTCGTTCTGGTGGGAAAAGTAATGCCCATCTGTTCTCACTCGAATTTCTTAGGGAGAACTGAACAGGAATTATACCTTTAGAGGAATTAATTAATAATTTTTGCTGATTGGAAGCTTACAGTTAAAGAGAGTTGGCACAAATTAAAATTCTCTCTGGTTTTTGCCGAAAGTAACTGATACAACTAGAAAAGGCTCGTACACACTTGTCCTAAAGAAATTGTACTGTTTCATTACAAGAGAGTTCTAGTCTCTTGTTCATAAAGATCACCGATTTTTCCATGCTTAAGGATGATAGCTTCTTTACTATTTTTTTTTACGTAACCTGGAGTTGTTGTTATGAGCAGAAATCCTTCTAAACTAAGTTCCTTCTGATTGCGTGACGGTCAACTAAAGAGCAAGCTATTTTTTGACCACGTTTATAATATTTTTAGAAAATAGAGCAAAGATTTCTAATATTAGCAAGGTTAAAGAAATAGAGGTGATATAAAAACATAACACGAGCTTAAACAGAACAAAATTTAAGTTACCAAGGTGTGCCACATCAGGTGATAGTCTCTTCATGAAATGTTCAACTGACGTAGATGATGCCAAGCCAAGCCCATGATATTTTAGTAGGCACCCAAAGCTACCCCAGCTATAGTTATCTGACGGCTACGCTGCCATTAAAATGAGGCCTAAACTTTCTCTGGTGACATGGATGTGCGCATGCGTAAGTCACTGGGGCAATACCGTTTGATACGAGTAGAACTGAGAACACAACACTTTTTAAAATCACCACGAGACGGACTAATCTATTCTAGGAGGGATCGGAGTGTGTGAGGGGATGGTAAACCGTGGGGTCTGTGGGGCTGTTGTTCGAGGGTGTCACTTGTTGTTTTCTTTCGCCAATTAGCTCTATTTATGATTAATCCGGTTTGATCAGTCTCTCAATATCGAAGTGCCTTTTTTAAACCATGGTGCTTCTCTTTTCCCGTCACGCTGTTACATTTTCAGTGAGTTCACTGGGAGACAAAACCAGAGAAAAACCAACCACCTGGCTCTAACTTCTCTAACCAAAGGGTCTCAAAGGCGCCCATTTTCAAAGGCTAATAGATATAAAGTAAAGATCAATGATCAGTGATAAACATCGTTGCCTCTGGCCAATCCAAAAACGCCTCTATAATAAGTTTTGAAGGCCATTTATTTTCGGGGTCCACACTGAAACGCTGCCTTGGCTCCAAACTCGTTACCAGAACATGCCAGAAACTGCAAACATTTTGGTCAGCCCACGTTGCCCGTCTCACTGGCAGTGCTGTCAACTCTCCTGGATAATCCGGGTTACTCCAGATCTTTAACCGTATCTCCCGTTCTCCAGATTAGAGTCTGAAATCTCCCAAATGATCACCAAATTTTGCCATTTCTTATAGACTAGACTCTCTGACAAAGAAATCTCAAATATTTTGCGTTGTTTGAGCTATTTCATTAACATTAAACGTTTCCTTATAAATTCCGGTATGCCACTGAAATATAAGCAGTAACAAGATTGGTGGCAAGCAAACCAATCAGGTCAAATGATACAATTCCAAAAACATCTTTTTCGCACGTTTTTTGGAGAAATGACGTCATGGGCTGTGCGTTATGACGTCATCTACCATTTCTCAATATTTGAAAGGATTGACAACCCTCCGCTGGACAAAGGTAACACCAAATGCATGGTATGGTATGAGTGACGCAGACACCCCGCCAGTGTTTTACGCATGCCCACAAGCATATAGCTTGGGTAGTGGCTTTCTCGTGCCCAGAGTCTTCTGGGTTTATGGTCAGTGCCGTCGGGCGGCGGTCATACCGGCGGTAGGTTCGCTGAACAAAAAGCCAGAAGACTCTAGGTACGAGATTGGCTCAGTGGCGACAGTGGCAGCATTCTGATTCCCGGAACTGCGATATCGAGGGCTCCAGAGGGTTCCAGGCAAGATACGATAAAGCACCTTTATCCTCTCTTGTTCCGGGATAACACGTAAAAGTAGCTGCCATGTTTTGTAACTGTTGGTAACGGGTACTGCATCCAATTTCGGAGGCTGCGTAGAAATCCCGGAAGTCAGGGAATTGCGGACATACTGTTCCAGAACCAGCCAGAGATCTCGAACCGTGGTGCTGGCTAAAAGGGTCGCGGCCCTGGGTACGAGAATGCTGAGACAGCCAGCTCTGCTATGCTGATGAGCCCACATGAGGGTGAAACAACTGTCCATGGTATGACAGTGCGCATGCGTACGTTACTGGCCAGGCCGTGGGCTGGTGTCTGAGTGTGTCACTTGCATTTAGGTTTCTATGGATTACTGAGTATAAAGGGTAGTGTAACAGAAATTACTGAACTTGGCCGTTGTTAATTAAGTCACTGAGCGTATTCGCTTAAAAGTAACCATTGTTCCTCTAATCATCGTCCACTAGGCGCCGTTTTTTATGGCGTAAACGAGAAAGAGGAATGTGGCACATCTGAGTGAGTCTGTCACATTAGCATTAGTGTATCAAGTCGTATTGTTTTATATCTGAAGGGTCATCTTTCGTTAAAACGTTATAATCCTGAAGCGAAAATGACGGAACATAACCCTGTTTCAATTCCACCAATAGTTTGTTAAGCAGCCCTAATACACGACTCCCGACAGTGCTCCATTCCCAGTCACTTCCTTGCCTAAGGTTTGCTTTCTCTCGAAAGAAAATCATCTTCAAAAGGTACGAGTTGATGAGTGCATCATACGACTTTAAACGTTGAAGAATAACCAGCAGTTGTTGAAGGTCTTGGCTTGCAGAATCCATAGAATGGGAAAATAACTGAACTGGATTGGAACTGTGCATAAGGAGTTTGCATATTGTGTAACAAGCAAGTGCTGGGGCGCTCGTTGTTTTGAATAAGCTTTTTTCGGCCAGGGATGTGGATATGCGCCAGTATAATCCAGCGGATGGGTTATTTTGTAGAAACGGAGAAACTTTTGGAATGACGTGATATAGGGAACAGCCTTCTTGAGGGGGAACAATCGTAGTCAATCTCATCAGGCTCACCAACTTTGGTTTTTTCCGAAGTGCTTCCAGATTTTAGCAGGGAGTAACTAAACCTCGGTTCTGCTTGTATCATGCCTTGCAGAGCAACTTCGATATAACGACCGATGTCTTGTTCGATTCTTTCGACTTCTGCGATTCGCTTTACGCACCCTAAAACTTCTGTTCCACTTAATTGAAGAAGCATCAAACTGAGAGATGCCTCTTCACTCAAAAGCAGTTCTTTACTCCCTTCGCTTTCAGCAGGCTCCACATTCTCAAGATGCTCTAATTTTGCAAATTCTTCTTTTTTAGTGTCAAAGTGTTCACCATTGCTTGAAGTTATGCCGCTTATGTCTCTATGGACGTGTGCTAGTGGTTGCAGTTCTCTTTCAGATGATGCACTGTCGTGCTTGACAAATGACATTCTGTTTTGTTTTGCGACACAATCGCCTGAAAAACCGCCGTGGGAGAAAAGAATTTTTGCTATATTTTTATGACCCTGATAAGCAACGTACTGGAGGGGAGTTGCTCCGTACTGGTCACATGCGTTAACCTGAGCCCTACCCTCTTCAAGCAAACGAATACAGATTTGACTGTTGCCAATTTCAGCAGCCAGATGGAGAGGAGTAACACCACTTTTATCAGGGATATCAGCATCAGCACCAGCTGACATTAAAATCAATATAGTGTAACGCACAACGGTGTCAAGCATTTCAGTAGCTAGTACTCTTGTATCACTCCCGTAAATGCTGTGACCTGTACAGTCACGCACTCCAGTGTAACAAATGTCACTGTCACGCAATCCAGTGTCACAAACTTCGACCTTTGAAAACTTGCTTGTGTGAACTGGAAAAACTTGGCAAGTTTTTCTTTCACTGACAAAAGAAAACATCGAAAAATAGTTGTCGAGTTTTCCTATTCAGACGACTAACAGAACCTGCAGAGGAAAACTTGCTCGTGTAAACAGGACTTAGGACCCTTGGGGTCTCCCAATTGACAGTGACGGGCTGGGATTCTCGTCGGTTTGCTTAGAGGTAGAGATTGCAAATTTTGGTTCCACTTAGACCCTACTCCGACAAAGAATAATGGACATTTTTTTACATTTAGATACTCCTACGGGATTCCTCAATAGGTAAAAATATTGGCTTTCCATCGATAACACTCTAAAAGTATACGGTAAGGTGAGATAAAAAAGGTAAAGGCGCACACGAGCAAAAGGCCCAAACGGTCGGAGCTTATCCCGGTTTCGTTAGCACGAAACACTTAGGAGCAAGAGAGGATAAAGGGGACAGAGAAGGCATCCCCCCCACACACCCTATTCCATAAGTAATACGTCTCGAGTTATTTTTAGAATCGGGATAAAGTTACCTCGCGCACTGCTTGGATGTTTCGTGGAGGTTTCGCATGACTAAACGCCGTGCAAAACATGTCGGACGAAAGGCAATGAAAGCGTAAAGAAATCGAGAGCATTCCTGAATACTGAAGCGAAATGAGTCGGCACTCACTTGGGAAAAGGGAATCGCTGGACTCTTTGACAACCCGTGAAATCAGTTTACTCGAAGTTGTCGTAACCTCAGTGCTTTAATAAAATGAGAACTTTCGCCGGTCTATTGAAACTGGTCTTTTGTACAATAAAGCAAGTAGTACGCCAAGTGTTGTTTTGTTGAATAATAAAAGACTAATAAAAGAATAAATATCAAAGCAGAAATTGCTCTCTTCAAACTGTAAATTATAAATGATCCTGAGAGAATATTCAGTTTGTTAAGGATTTCCCTGCTGTACTGTTAGCTCTGTACAAGAGAGGAAGGGCGATTCTTTTTTTAATTTCCGTTTCGCTGACACATCTTTAGCAGAAATCTCTCTGTAGTCGTTTTCGTCGACAAAACGAATAGCAGTATCGCTCTCCGCGTCTTCCGCCATTTTGTTCTGCGTCAATTCGTGAAGGACACGTGGCACTGAGTGTGGGTCATCCACGCGGAACACATTCGCGCTAAGTGATTGGCTGTTGTCTAATGCCCCTTGGGATCTGTGGTCTTAAAAATAACACGAGACAAATTACCTATGGAATAGGGTGTGTATGGGGGATGCCTTCTCTGTCCCCTTTATCCTCTCTTGCTTAGGAGTAATGCTACTCCCCCCTGGACGGGATGCTAGTCCATCGCAGGGTTATCCCCCAGCAGTCTGTCGCCGGTACCCATTTATACACCTGGGTGAAGAGAGACAAAGTGGAGTAAAATTCCTTGTCTAAGGAAACAACGCGACGGGCGAGGCTTGAACCCCAGACCTCCCGTTCAGCAGACTGCCAAACGATTTCGATTACCCCACTGCTGATTATGTCAGGTGCCAAAAAAGTCGTTGACATTGTTTACTTGGCCCCGTTTACACGATTTCGGATATTTTCTAAACCTGGAGTGTTTACCATCTACACAAATCACTAGACTACGAGCAGTCTGTCTTTTTTGTTAGACCGTCGAGCGAAACGCGCGAGACACGCAAATGACCACGCGCGCCGTCCTCGTTTCTCGCGTCTCAAGACGCTCTCGCGCGCTTGCACTCCCTCACTAAATCTGAAGAAAAAGAGACTTGTGGAAATCTTGTCCATTGACATAAAACTATAAGATACGACGAGGTGGGAGAACGGCCGCTTCAAAGTATATTAAAATCAGCTGAACAGGTTAAAAAAAGAGCGGATTCGCCTTAAATCAAACGGAATGGGGCGAACCACTCCATTTTCCAACCGGAACAACCAGAAATTCCGG